TAAAATTTGTGGAAAAGGGCAAAGGCTCTTACCTTAGTACAATGTCTGTACGGCGTCCTGGGCTGGCTGGCAAAATAATCGCGTCATCGAAAGATGCGTGTACGTGTACTGTAGACAATTTCCAGGACGCTGCATTGCATGCGTAGAGTCAACGTCATGATTTCTGCGTATCAATTTTTCTCCGCTTTTTTCAACAAATAATTCACTTTTTTCTCGTGGGAAAACGTCGTTAATCTTATTTTATTAGCCTGAACTTTGTCTTGACAGCGCAAATTATACCCAAATAAACGTCTTTGGATGATTTCTGGCACCCAAAATTGATTCTCGACTCAGTCCTAATTACGCGTTTAGGAATCACCTGGTGATCCAAAATTGACCTCGAATGAAAATACTGCCGCCTACGGCGGGTCCCGGGATCATTGCGTCCAGAATATAGTTATGTTGTAATGAATTATACTGATTAATATAATTTTAAAAAGTTGGATGTCTCCATTCTATTTTTCAAAAATTGATTAGATGAACTGTAAAACACATTGAAATAGCTACATATCTATCATTTTGAGTGAATTTGACTCAATACATGAATTAACAAAATCTTAATTTAGCTAAAGTGCCAACAATCTCACTGTGAGAATCTACTTTATTCTAAATTATCTTGAATTAGTGAAATGACATGCTAGCTAAAAAGACGTGTTTTACAGTATTTGGGAGCAGGAGAGTTGTCACCTGCGCATGCGTCAGATGGCCATAGCGTGTCATTGTTTACAAACAAGCGTCTACCCATGAGCTTTTGCGTTTTTAGCGTATGTTGTTATAGTCGCTTGGGACTTGATTCCTGCGTGTGCGCAGGTGACGGCCCTCCTGCTTTAAACTACTATGCGACGATTCCATTTATAATAACAGTTTATTACCTTTCTTTTTGAACTGCCACTGACATGCTTTTGCTGACTTCAGTGTCGCCAAAGAGTTTACGAAGTACAGTCTCAGCTTTTTGTGGTTACAAATTCTGCTGACTTTCTCATTTCAGGGTTGCACCGACATGCCATTGCTTTTGTTATTGGTGCTGCGCTTGGCTATTACTATAGGCAGTTTGAACGAAGACATTGGGCTGAGAGAGATTGGTATATTGAAGACTATGTACAAAGACATCCTCAGTCATTTCCTGAACCAGGTATAGTTTATCTTTAACACTGGGGGCTTCTCGGTTTGAAGGGGAGTCTGTACTCAGGGGGGAAATAAAATGTTCACTTTGATTGCGTTTATTTTCTCATACAAGTACCACTTTTCATTATTGAAAAGACTTGTTATAACTTCTGTAAATGATTATACTTTGCATTACGTGTCAGAAAGCTGTGAATGTTTTCATGTAAAATTCATGTTTTATATAATTACAAATTGCTGTTGAAATTTCCACAACCCAAAAATAAATTTGTTTTTACTTGATACAAACATTGTTTGTCAAACTGTAGTACTGATTCCATTTGTAAATTTATTTAAAAATAATTTTAAAATACATATCTGTAAACGATTAATTTGAAATGTTTTGACTAAATTTGGCAGCTGAGGAAAAGGCGCAAAGAGAATCAATGATAACTGCATAACTAACCTATTTTATGACCGGCTCTGTTCTACATCAATCTAAAATTTCTGCTAAGATTTTGCTCATTAATCGTGTAATTCTATTCACAACCTCATGCAGAATGGGGCGGTTACACTTTTAGCACTTTGGGACTTTTGGATGTCACAGCTCAGAGAGAAAAAATATATCTGTCTTGCATTGTTCACAATATTAGCATATTTAGATTAGTAGCATTCTATATTCATCAGCAAATCAATAACACATAAACAAACTACCGGTACATCCAATAGGGCAATTCCAGACAATTGTGGATTGGTGCTATCCGCGGAATTATGGCTAGTTACGAGTCCAAGCCAATGACAACTGCTTCTTCATACAGATTATTTTGGTTTAATTGTTTGTTTTCCCCTGCTGCAGAGGCTGTTTTGAACACATTTGGTTATGAAAACCGTTCTCAAAAAAATTTCTCTTCACATTCTCAGTAACCCAACAAAACTATTTTTTTCTTTTCAGAGAAAAAGAAGATGGGATCCATACTGCACCCTTGGGGACCAGTCAAGTAACACAGCAACCATGTATATTGTAGAATGTTTTTCTGTCAAGATTTATTCATTAGATATCTGAAATTACTAAATTGTTTATTTTTAGGAGTATTTACTCATATTTACTCATTGCCCATAGATGTGACTGTGTAATGAAGGCGCATGTATCGATGATATTCTCTGCAGTAATTGCAGAAGTGTGTTTGTAAATTAAAATATTTGAAAAAAAAAACAATTGTTTACTTAGTGTGTGTCATACACCCCATGTTTTCACCATGAATACCGGGACAAAATTGCCTTCTGAAAGCTTCACAGATGTACCAAAATCAATGGAGGGGAAAAAAGGAGTTTGAAGGCAATTCGTTATACCATCATGCAAAGTATGAGTGATCTATTTAATGCTTCAATACAAGTGCTTGTCACTTTCAATGAATTAAAATCTTGCCCCCCCCTATAAAAATGATTACTACATATGCTAGTATTGCAGCCTGTGCATTTAAGCTGTGAATTGGACATTCAAATTGTTTTCTGGTGATAGGAATTGTATTGTACGGCATCAACCTTTGACTAGGTTATAGTCTGCATTACAGCACCCTCATAGTCTGTCACGAACAAATGGAAATAAGTCGTCTGTAGTTTTTAAAATCCAACTGAATAGTATTGTCACAGAAATAAAACAAACTCCACCACACGAGTATTGGGAATATCAAATTATATTAGTGTGCAATATACTGACATTGAAATGCTGTGTTCTCATTGGTATCAGATAACTGGTCAATGATTATGTATTTCCTATTATTGCACACATTGCCTATTTAAACGACAATGATTTGGATCTGTGTCAAGTAATTATCTCATCTAGATGTAAATATGACACTGTGCAGATTGATTCTTGTTATAAATCACCGTCAAAATTAAACTTGGCTATATTTAGAGGCTAGGTTCACATATTCATGTGATAATACAAATATACGTGTATATCGTAAAAACCTTTAAATTTGATAACTTTGATTTATAACATGCCATAATTATTCCCTAAGTATGACCCAGCTTTCTTTAAATGTCAGACCATCTTTTCAAATAAATTTAGTTTCAGATAAAATTCCCCTCCCAAATCTAAGGCTTGATATGCCATCCCTTGCATTTGTGAGTTGATTGGAACCGAATCATGTAAGCGGATACCAATCACCTAATTGCATACCTCATCTGAACACATTGTAATACAAACATTTATACCATCTACTCACCCCACCCCCCCATGAGCGAGAATACCAGAGTGATCATTATTTTCAGCATGCAGTTGTTCAGACAGGCAGACAGACAATCAAAATGATATTCTTTACAATATTTATTTCATTTCTGGAAAAAATACTTGTTCCTTTACAAGAAAATACAAAGTTCATAAGAAAAATTAACCGATATAAAATAAACCCACAAATAATGTACATAATATACAATTAGTATTTTTACAAAATGTTTTTTTTTCTTTAAGTAATTGAAGTTTACTCTCTTGAGTAAGAAATATTTCCATTCTTGATTTGTCAATTTCACTGATTGCATTTTGTCATGTATATAGGTCATGGTTAGAACGGCATATTTTGTTTTACAGCATGATTCTTAAAACTATATTAGTAACCCTACTCTGTCTGACATTTCCTTCTATCTTGTAATCAGTTGAAGTCTGAAAAAAAGATTTTGTCAGAGATTTAAAATAAACTGGAAAAAAACATGAAAGTAGCTATTACGAGCACCACTGTTGTAAAGTGTGCGCTCAAATTTCATTGTTGTGTATGTTGCATGGAACCCTTATTACGAATCAAATCCTTTGATCAGGAAAGATCCAATAAAGTTGGTTTTGTTTACAATTCAATTATATTATAAAGGAATTATTGTGGCATGAATTGGGGACATGCTAAATGTTAGTCTGAAAAATCAGTTTATCTTGTTTAGGTTTTTTTCATAAATTTAACGGAAAGAGGCATTATTTATTTTTTAAAACCGATTTGGGTTTGAACACTTATTCAGCCATATATGTACACTCGTCTGGTCAAAATTACCACAATGGCATAACATTTTGCATAAATTTCGGCACACTTAATGGTCTGGACGGGAATTTTTGAAATTTTTTCTTGCAGTACAGTAGACTTGAAGGTTGAAATTTAAATCAAGATATGCTACTACATAATTCATCAAAACTTGGGGAGGTTGTTATATAAATAGAATGGAAAAAACCATGTCATCTTCAACAAACTTCCTATAGAATATATATAATTACTGTGTAATTGAGTAATAACTTTTGTATTAATTTGTAACTTTTATACAGATTCTCAAAACCAATAAATAGTTATAACCTTTCCTTTAAGCCAGTACGATAGTTATAACCTTTCCTTAAAGCCAATACGATAGTTATAACCTTTCCTTAAAGCCAATACGATAGTTATAACCTTTCCTTAAAGCCAACATGATAGCTATTACCCCAAAAATATTTATCTGTTATTTAAAAATTCATGACTGGGTTTTTACCTACCATTACATGTCTTGTAATATTAACCGATATACTGCCATTGCCCTTAATGTACGAGTTTTGTTTTACTTTATTTTGAATCTTATAAATCTTATAAACACAGAAAGAAATCTGGCTGGCTGTAGAAAGGTTGAAACCCAACACTGCTGCGACATGTATGGAACCACAAAATTACTGTTTTCGACTAATTCATTGGTCCAATTCAATATATATATAGACGAATTTCTCCCTGTGGTAATATTATTTACTGTGGACTTTCTCTATAAATAACAACTCTATAATGAGCCTTATCTTACACAAACAGATAAAGTTGTCTTTTGATTTTGTTAAAAAAAGAATAAACAACATTTTTTAAATTCATTGTAGATGTGATGGTCAATGTAACTTTGGCAATTGTTTAACAGCTGCTGTCTTCTTAATCGGTCCCCTCCTCGGATCTAAAATTCTCTGATTGTCTGGAACACTGAAAGATACAAGTAGGAATGGTATGGCATCATAAATAATTTGGAATGATGGGGTTTAAATACTTGGATTGCCATAACGATAGTAAATCTAAACAAATTGGCATATATTATAACAAGTTGTAAGGTGACAATAACATTATCCAGCCATGGTGGACAATGATACTGTGACTTGCAAGCAAAATTATTTTTTAGGGTTAAAATTTATGAAAATGCAAAAACAAAGATCTTTTTGTGCAAAGAAATTCTCTGAAAACATTGGCACTTGATAGCTTTAACTTAACAAATATCAAATCTCAATATTTTGTGGACACACAAGAGTTCTCCTGGTAAAATACAAATAAACCTTAAAATCTAGAATCTTCCACAAATTAATGTTAGGCCAGACTTTTATTATCCCTTGTTTCGCAAACCCACGGAATGACCAGGAGCCGAAAATGAAATAAGAATAAAATTTTATTTCAGCGTAATTTCTCGCGCCTGCCGACTTGTAAGTGCAAAAAATTGCTAAAAAAAACTTAAAAAACTTATTTTTATTTTCAATTTTGTTTTCGCCCGCCGCATAACAATTCCAAGTTGTATTTTTCTGGGAGTATGGTGATCAAAGTACCAAAGTCTTGCGCAGATGAGAAACAAGGTTATACATGGAATAACATTTTATTTCATTTCTTCTCTCCGATCAATGATCTCACTGACAATTCTTTGAGAATCACACAAATCTAATGGAAAAAAAGAATTAATTTTATTTTTTTTCCCGCGCTCCTCAAAAAAATTGCCTTATAAAAACTCGAGAAACAAGGAATAAAAAAAGTATGGTACCGTAAAATCTGTATTAGAAGCCACATCCCTAATAGAAGTCGCACCAATTCTCTTTGAACTGAGGACTAAAAATTCACCATTTCTCATATGTGTAGATGCTCTAATAGAAGCCCCATTCCCTCTGTTGCATTGTATCATTTTAAAAGAAGCCCCGGCTACTAATACAGATTTTACAGTAATACATAGTTAATAATAGCATACTTATGATAGCTTCTTGGACTCGCCATCGGATCACTATAACTTCCTCCTCCAAATGCATTCCTTTTCTTTATCTCATCAATACTTGACTTAGCCTGTCGGAAGAAAACAATTCTTTAAGGTTACCATGACAACTGTATGCAAACTATTTTAATATTTCCTTCATTTCATATCCATAGTTTTGCTTCAATGCTACTAAAATGGTTAAATATGTTCGAAGATACACGATGCTAATGGTTTCCATGGTTACAAAAAATTTGAATAAAAAAAAAAGAAAACACACCTTTGAAATTTGTAAAATTTTGTTGTTATAAAACAAATATATCAATATACAATTTCAGATAATCTTTTAGATAACTTTTTTTGAAAGGTGAACAGATAAGTAGTGAATTGTGAGATATTTTGAATTATTATAAGAATCTATTTTAGATTGCATTGACCAGGATAACAAATTAATTTAGGGATCAGAGAAAAATATCTACAGTGCAAATGAATAAATAGCATAGATCTGAATAGATAAGAAAAGCTTTTGTTTTTCCCCAAATTTTTATATATAGTGTTGACCACCTCTTTATAAAGTATTGAGCATAGGGAAATATGCAAACATTTAGGTAAAAAAAACTATTCTCATGCATACTTTTAATAGATCAGTATACTATGAATAAATTTATTAATTAGAAATATTGATTTTCAAGTTCTTACAATAAGGAATATTTAAAGGTCCAATCAAAAATAGAATTACAACCATATATGTTTTAAGGAGTCAGTGGTAACATTTTTTTGTAAAACCATGGAAATGAAATCAAAGAATTATAAACAAACAATACAGTGTGTACCCATCTACTGCAGAATATGGCCCTCTGATTGGTTGACAACAGTATATCCATGCATCCAATCAGAATTTTCCATGTATAATACAGAACAAGTGAAATTCAAACGAAATGAAACATGGGCGTAAATCATCAGTGAAATCAACACACAGCCATGCATGTTGGATTGGTACACACATACATACTT